GGGCTCGTCAAGTTTCTCTGCAGCACCGAACGCCTCGAGAAGCGCTTTGCTAGACTCTTCAGCGGCCTTGGGACACTTCCAGGAGAGTACACCATCCGACTAGACCCAGCGGCGGTGCCTTACTTGCTGAGCGTCGCATGCCCATCCCTCTGATGCTGTAATTCAAGAACTCGGAGAGATGGTGGATCGGGGCGTCATTCACCCAGTTGAAGGTCCAACCGACTGGTGTGCTGGGATTGTTCCAGTCCTGAAGCCTTCCAGAGAAGTAAGGATCTGCATTGACTTTACTCACCTCAACACCTCCGTCCGAAGAGAGCGCTATGTCCTTCCAACTGTGGGGGAAACGCTTGGCCAGCTGGGGGCGGCGGCAGTGTTTTCGAAGTTGGATGCTAATTCCGGGTTCCATCAGATACGTCTCTCTGCTTCGTGCCAAGAGCTGACCACATTCATCACCCCAATTGGCCGTTTTTGCTTCACGCGACTACCTTTTGGAATAACATCAGCTCCGGAATATTTCCAAAAACGCATGTCGGAGATCTTGAGCGGACTGCCCGGAGTTCTCAACCTCATGGATGATATACTTGTCTTTGGCAAGGACCAAGCTGAGCATGATGCGAATCTGCACAAGACTCTCAAGCACCTAGAGCAAACTGGAGTCACCCTCAACAAAGCCAAGCGTATCTTCAGCACAAGGGAAGTTACCTTCCTCGGATGTATCTTATCCCGCCACGGTGTTCGACCGGACCCAGCAAAGGTCAAGGCAATCGGAGATCTTCCGGCTCCAGAGGATCCTGCCGGCGTCCGTCGGATCCTTGGAATGGCGAACCATCTGGCAAGGTTTCTTCCAAACTTGGCACAAATTACGGCGCCGCTCAGAGACCTGCTTCGAAAAACGGTGGAGTGGACCTGGAGTCCCCCACAAGCAGCCGCTCTGCTAGGCGTCAAGGATCTCCTGTGTTCAGATTGTTGCATGGCTCACTACAATCCGTCGTATCCCACAGTACTTTCGGCGGATGCGTCTTCACATGGATTAGGAGCAGTCTTGCTTCAGGTCCAGCCCAATGGGAGCGAAAGAGCTGTGGCCTTCGCATCAAGGTCCCTTACCTCGACTGAAACCCGATACGCTCAGGTGGAGAAAGAAGCTTTATTCCCTCGTGGCCCTGCAGAAGTCACGGGCCTCACGGCATGCGCGTGCGTGCCTCGCTTATAGAAAGCGGGAAGTTCAAAAGAGGCTCACGCCACATCTCCTCGTATTCTTTCTTTAGTTTTTGAAGCCAGGTGACATGTAGCCTTTATTTTAACATTCTTAACACTCATATGCTGCTCCCAACTTGCTCCAAGACCTTGTTTTTGCTGCTCCCAGCCTGCTCCAAACTGTAGTTCTTTCTGCTCCCAAGATTGCTCCAAAGCTGCTCTGCCCAGTTCCATTCCTGTAGAAGGTTACAAGATAGACGATAACTGCCGTAAAAGCCGCGACACTTTTTTTTTGCTAGGAGCGCGGGCAGTCATTTTGCACATGCTTCTGAGTTCAACATGGCAGCCTTTACTCCATCTGCGTTTTACAGACAGGCCTGTGACTCAAGTGATGAAGGTGATTTCAGTAATGAAGACAACTAGAAGGCCTCCAAGATATTCTCCGATGAATCTTCGAAGAGTGGCTGTGAGAGTATAGAAAGTGAGGAGGAGACAGGCACAGATGCTGTTGATCCTCCACGTGGGACATCCACCTTGGACACATATCAAGATTTTGAGACTCACCATTTTACGGTTCAAAATCAAGGTACCCAAGTAGTGCAACCTAAACCCACAAATGAGCTGGAACACTTCAGCGTTTTTTCATTGATTTGATATTTTTTGCTTGAACTAATTTTGACTAGAGGAAAACTCTCATGATCTCAAAGGTTAAAATGCACATATGACTTAGTTATGCATCAGTGGGTGTCTCAGATGGACTAAAACACTTTTTGTGGCAGGGATGGTCGAGGAAATTTAGGAGCATGAGCTGCCTAGGAAATTACTCCCCCAAAACCAAAACTAATGCACCCCAAGTGTTCAGTCTCTTCGACAAGAAAAATATCTACAGAGTCTCAACAATAGAAATCTTTGCAGAATGTGTTAGCAATGATCTTGAGCAAACGACACGAAATCGTCCGGTCCCAATAGGTCATATTGGTGTAGACGGAGAATATGAACGTCTATGTGCGATCTGGCCCAGAACAGAATGACGATGTCGAGAAACCGGAAATCAATAGTTCTGCACAGAGGCCCAGCATATCCATGGTCTTTCTTATGCGTCTAGAATTGCAAACGTTAGCGAGCAAATGACTATGAGTATTACGTGGAACGTTGGTTCCTCAACTCCCATACCAATATTTTTTTATTGTTTTGCATAGTCCACAATTCCTTGTTGTCCGAAAAATATTTTTCCTTGCCTTAGCAGTAATGTGTGGGTTTTAGAAGTGTCTGGGGCTGACGATTTTTGTACCTATTTCACTCTCAAAACCTGGAGCGGCGTCAAACAACCTCGAGTGCAAATTACTGGCCAAGCAGTCAGATGCTAATTTTGATGAGCGTAACTCGGAACCGAATGATCAACTGTACTGCTTGTACATTGTTGTAGAAATGAGAACAGCAACCCCAAACACCACGAAAATCTACAGCCCCTGGTCTGGATCATGTGACGTATGCAGTGATGTGATTGCTGCGCCAATTGCACCAAACTGTGCCAAGGGGCTAACCCTGCTACATCCCGCTACATTTTGCCAAAATATGGGTAATCTGCGCCAGGCCTGTGCCAAAGGGCCGATTTCGGTTGTCTTTCAATACCGAAGCTAAACTCAGTACAGTCGCCGACCGATTATTCGGACTTTACAGGGACTGAAATAACGTCCGAAGAATAGAGTAGTCCAAAAAATCAGCAGATAGAAAAACTTGCCTTTATTACTTCCAGGCGGGCTTAAAAAAGTCGTAAATTGTGCCTTGCTTCAGGTTACGTCTGCGTGCCTTGTTTTCAGTTACGCTTCTGTTTGCGTTCGGCAACTTTCTGTTAGCTTGAGAATCGCTGCCTTCTTTTTTAGCATTATGGTCGAGGACTTTCAGCGCTTCTTATTCACATATCGCGGCGGCAGAACAGATGGGGCCATGACGTCCAAGCCAGCGTTGTCCAAACGAGATGAGACACAAATCCACGAGCGCAAAATGGCAACTGGCGACACGAAAGTTGGGCGGAGGCGCGAAGGGATGGAAGGAAACAAAACAAAATGATAATAATGCTGATGATGTGCATCTAAATGGAAAAAAGGGCTATCATAGCGTCACCTAGCAGTAGGACTCGGAAGTACTCAAGTAGCACTGCCAAACCAAGCCAATCCATTTGCAGGCAATATAGAATTCAAAATGGCCTTTTCTCGGTAGCGTTTCCCACGCCTCCGCTGTGCTCCCCGCGCTGGACCCCTGTCGTCATGCCCGCCCGTGTGTGCTCGTGAACCCTGCGTCTTCGCCCCTCCTCCCGCATCCCTAAGACTGCTTCCCGATTTCTATCTAATCTCATTTCTTTCTGCTGAAATTTCACTCCCATCTGATTGAGTCTACAGGACTATCTCTTCCTTTCCAAACTCCTTCTCCCTCTCTCTCTCTCTCGTGTTTCCCGCTGATCGCTCGTACGATTTTGTCAGAATATTCAAACTTTCGGACTTTAAACTGTCCGAAATACTGGTCGTGAATATGCACTATTTCTATAGGGTAAGTAACGGTTCCTCCTTTAGGTCCGAATTATCGGAGTCCGAAAAAACGGTTGGCGACTGTACCGTAATTGAGCATGTGTGAATTATGTGGCGCAAGCGGCCGCGTGACACAAAGTACCCTGTATCAATCGTCCAGCCGGTCTTGCATGGTTTTTCCACTGTCTCGCGTTTCACGCTCTTGTTATCTCGTGGGTCTCGTATCGTGTCTTTTCTTTCAATTATTTTCAACGGTAGATGCGGGTGTGTGCAGACGCTCCGACGGTAGCGTGCCGGGTACCAGCCATGCCGTCAGGCTGTGAAACGAAACCGTTTTTGCGCGGCGGGAATTACTTTGCGAGTTGAAGCACTTGCTTCTGAAAGTAACGACCGTGGGAAAACTTCTGGGTGTATCAAGGAGTGGCCAGGCTATTTAAATCGACTGCAAAATTCGGTTTCTTAATCTATTGCGCTACGACTTTGTGCAGCGTTGCCCTCAGATGGTCCATTTTCTAGTAAAATTTGCAAAGAGCGAACTTACCTGAAGAAAAAGTAAAGAAACAAAAAGGCTAGCTCCTATGGAAATGCGGCGAAGCCGAAGGTCTTCTGACGATACCACGCCGTTTCACACGGGAGACAAGAGATGGCGTAAGTGGTCGCGATGCCAACCGCGCCAACAAACAAGCATACGGCGCCGAGAGCCGGCGTTTTTAGCAGACTATCTTTTCGACTCAAAAGTGACGCAAGCTTTTCCGATATCAGTTGCCAATGCATTATTTTATCATCCTTGCTGATAAAACATGTTGAATTGACACATAATCAATTAGAAAAATGGTTAATCGGGATATCTTGGTTCCCAGTTATGCTCTGTCACGAGATAGTGTTGGTTCCCAGTTATGCTCTGTGATGGTGTTTTTTTTCCTTTAATTTTGTATTTTTGTTGTCATTGTAACGATGGTTGAGACTATATATACCGGAACACGTTTTTCAATAAAATTCAGTTGAAAGTTGCGCCCTGTAGTGTCCTCTTCTCTGCCTTTGTCCTCGTCTTTGTTGCGCACAAGATTGTATAAGATATCTTTACTGTTTCTTTCAGAGCACCGATGTCGTCTGCTTTGCAGTTCCTTGTTGTTACCTACCGTGCCTGTTTTTGTTTCTGCGACTGTCGCCGCCTGCGAAACGCGCTCCGCTTTCGAGTCAAAAAGATGGTCTGCTAAAGACGCCGGCTGGCTGAGAGTTTGAGTGAGTCCAAGCTTAAACGGCACCCTCTGTCCTTTGCAGAGGAGGGGGGCTGCTACTACGAGTGCCACTACCCACCCTGCAGCAGCCTGGAGCGGGAACCCCGGGAGTTCAGCATCTGCGGTCGGTGCCAGGCGGCCCGCTACTGCGGCCTCTTTTGCCAGCAGCGGGACTGGCCCCTCCACAAGCGGCACTGCCGCCCCAGGGCCAAGGCGCACCGCGAGCGCGCCCCGGAGCGGTGACGGCACCACGCCACAGAAGTCGACGCACTCCCGGGCCCGCGCCGCTTGCCCCCGGGCTTGCGCTCGCCGGGAGCCGAAGGGAAACCGAAACCACCACGCGGTGCTCAACCCTGTGTGCCATGCATTCTCTGCAGTGTCGTGACGTGCAGCGACATCAATGAACTTGCGGAACCCTCGCGAAAGAAACTCCAGCATGTCGTCGGGGCGAATCTCAATTTTCGGTGCCTTTTTGGGGGGAGGGAGGGGGAGGGAGGGGCTGGACGGTCGGTGTTGTCCTCGGCTTTACCGGTGCGACCTTGTTGACGATGCGAGATTTGCCTCGGGTTCAAGTTGGAGTCGGTCCCATCGTAAGTGGCCGACACAGTATGCGTTCCACTCGTTTATACTGTCGGGAGGTGTGGTTAATAATATGCGTGCTTTGGGAGGCATTCAATTCCCAAAAGCGAAATAGTTTGGGTCGTGCAGCCTAGGTGCCGTGGCCTAGTTGGACACAACTCAACATTAAGTGGGAGAAGGAACTACCCCGCTCCGGCTTCGTAAATATTTGGAGTAACAAATAATGAGTGTGCGGGGCCCACGGATGCGCATTTGTTTTTATGCAGATACTGGGATTGCTACAGTTAAGAGAGGAGAAAGCGTGTGTGCCCCTTTAGTTCAGTGTTTGTAGGTTTACCCTTCCTTTATTGTGTTTTGGTTCTTCTCGAGATCTCATTGTTTTCTGTGGGCAGTTTGCATGCTTTTCACTTTGTCATTGCGAAATAGCTAGTATTATCTCTTGGCCGGTTAATATTTGTTTTGGGAACGCTCGTCAGTTTGCCCCAGTGTTTGTGGCCCGAGTCTCGCCGCTCACAGTACCGGACGTGCCACGGTGTCCGTACGCAATTCTCGACGCAGTCTGCCTATTCAGTTTGTGGAAGCCTCAACAGAAGGGCAGGTTTCTGGTTGCTGCATGGTGTTGGGAACTTGTGCCTGAGCTGTCTCTCCCTCCAGCCATTGAGTCCAGGGATTCTTCCCAAGCACAGACTGCCATCTACGTCTTCTCCTTTTGGCTCCCTGTTCCGACGGGCACAGCCTGCCACATTCACGAGCGGATGTTGTTCTGCCGTGTGGCCGCACCTTTTCCCAGCTTGTGTGCTCCACCTTGCGATGTGACCAAACCTTCTGACGAATTAGTGCTACGTTCCACTTGGGAGGAGGCATCTGCAAAGGTGGTTGCACCAAGCCTGCCAGTGGGGGCCACTGTTTCAGTGTGGAACAAATGACTCCAGAAGCCCTTGTTTTCTTTTTTTTTTTTTGTTATTCTTTTGCAAATGCCTGCACCGTACTCAACCAAAGCATTCCCGGCATTGTTGGTTAACTGCAAATATGGGCAGAGATCTCTGATGCACTCGCTGCATTTCTTTTTGAGGGGTGGGCTGTGTGTGCGAGTTTCTTACCGTGTGCCGATTTTATTACAAATTTTCTACCAGCCTGTGCATTGTTCTTTTGAGTTGTTTGTAGCAGGCATGTTAGTCTTTGATGCTGCGTTCCAACAGGGTTCGGTTTTTCTCCCCCGCTCGGACGATGGGGGGGGAACCTTTCATTGTTTGTAATGGCAATGTTTCTAGTCTGCATGCTCTTTTATTACGATTGGGGGAGGGTGGCACTTGTCCTGCACCGACGTTTGTGCCACTCCCCAACTGCCAAGTGTTACCTGGCAAACATTTATTTATTACCATAAAAATTCTTCATTATGTATGAATGGTGTTACCTACTTGTGCTTTTGTGGCATCTTCTCCTGTACAGTTGCCATTTGAAAGTTTTGTCATTGTTTGCTGTGTACAGACTGGATTTTAAGTTGCTCTTTCTTTAATTTTGCATGTTTTCTTAATGATGTGCCAGCTGTTTTTTTAATGTCGGGAGACACGTCCACTAATTGAGGATGCCCTGTTATGTGGACCATCGAATAAACCATGTGACAAAATTGAGTTTTGTACTTTCTTTGGGTAACCAGTTTTTTGGGGGGATTTTGTAATGGAACTCGTAGAGGCAATAGGTTATGAAATAGATGACCTACATGCTGTACTTGTGAAAATTCCTAGTTGAATTCTTCAAGCTCTTTAACATTCATAATATAAGAGTACAAAAAAAAACGTATCGGAAAGCCAATTGTTTACATGATCAGCTTAAATTATTGCCGGTTGGAATTGTTATATTGTATCGCGGCCCACATTTAATTACGCCGAATCGCTTTTCAGTGAACCGGTAACCGCCACATGAATTACGGATACGTACCGGTTTGGGTTTAATATTAAATGTTTAATTTCGGTTACTGTTTTGCTCCGGCTCGCTCAAATTGTAAGGGCTTTACTACGGTTTCCAACCAGCTTGCAATACCCCCCCCCCCCCCCCCCCCCCCCTTCCCGTTGTTCGACGCGCCCGATGGCTGCTTTGGTAACATACAGAGCCGTATATGTAGAGAGTTTGGTCAATGGGAGGTGCGGGCAGAGCCAGGGCGTGTGGCAGATTCGGAAAGAGGGCTTGGCATGCTCTCTTGACCAACCAGAAGCCGAAAAGGATCCCCTAGCGGTGGTAGCGAGAAACAGTTCTGAGCCGATTGATCATCGAAGGTCTATGTTCGTATATGGTTTTAATAAGTGCGTAAGAGTGAAGTGTAGTAACTCTTTGTGGTTGAAAATAGGGTTCACGTGTTGTTTCATCATGATCATGCAGAAAGATGTAAGAAACGAATGCGCCACTCAACTCTGTTTTGCGCGGACAAAGTGTGACCGCTCTGACGGCAGATTCCCGGCGCTCGGCGTTTGGCGTAACGATTATGTCGATCTTTCCGCTAGTCGCACTCTTCCACCATCATTTTAGATGAGCGTGATTGAAACATCACGTGTACCATATTTTCAGCTATCGAGAGTTACTCCAATGCAGTTATCAGGTTTGTTTCTTGCGACCACCGCCAGGGTATTATTTCCGGCTTCTAGTTGGTCACATTCGAATTTCTGAAGACGCCCTGGAACACGCCCAGCCCGCTTTCGGCCAATGGCGCCGCTTCATTTGTCTCCTATACTTCCCAACGAATGGCCAAACTCTCTACATATACGGCTCTGGTAACATAGAGATCATACATGCTGTTTGGTAATTGCAGTGTATTCTAGAGTATACGTACGTTACGAAGCGCAGATCATCTAGATCAAGAATTCGCTAAAAAAAAAAAAAATAATAAATTACTATAATTACACTCCAAGAACTGTCAGGAAAGAAAAAAACAAAAAAAAAACTTGATGCTTGCCCTTCGTTGGTATTTTTCTCACTTGATTGCAGGAATACTCCTAACAGTGCGATTTTTAAATATTTCCCAAATTCCCGGTGGAAAAATATGATTAGTTTGTCGTTTTATTTTTTCCAATGTTTAAAACCTCCAGAAATTTTACATCTTTAACGGAGGATGAAGAGGATCTTAGGTTGTCGACAAACCTGTAAGATTGCATTCCTTTTACAAAGACCTGTACGCACATTCGCATTCGAACGCGTTTAAACGCGGAACGGCGTCCTTGCGGCAGGAAGCGGTTGCCTTCGAAGCGCGCCGTCGCACAACGCCCGCAGCGCGACGCAAGGGAGTAGAGACCATGGCTACAGTCAACACCTCCTAGAAGCTACAGTGCCATGGCTCAACTTTTCAGAGCGTTGCGTTTCGGTAGATCTAATCAGAAGGCGAAAAGGGAAGGGAGGGTCACGTGCTTGCTTGCGCCCGTCGGCGAGGCGCATCTGCTTGACGTTTGGATACAGGACCTTGGTTTTTCGTTTTGGGGAGCGTTGGGGACTACGGAAGCAGGTTTTTCCAAGGCGTCTTGGCTCATGTCTACGGTCGACTGCGTGTCAACGAAATTGTATGTACAAGCTTGTCGCAAACGCTCTTCGCAACGTTACGCGTCCTCCTGCTGCAACTGAACGTATCGCGCTCAAACTGCCCATGATCCTTCACTCTTTGAACGTGGATTATCAAGTTGGGGTGATCACGTGTCGTGCTCTGGTAGCTTGTAGCAGATGAATCTGTCTGGATATATATTACCTGATACATGAAGTGATGGCTGACTGGCAGAGATTTTACGTAATGCCTCGATGATGGTTATGGTGGCTCTGGCTGCTAGAAAATAGCTGTGGTATCAGCGGAATGGCCGAGCTTGAGGTTACCTAGCAGGAACGATCTCGGCAAGGTTGCAGTAGAGTGGTTGCAGTGCATGCAGGCTGCGGGAACTCCACCGCCGGGGATGTAAACTACATCTACTCGATCAACTCTGACAACCAGACTCTCTGACGCGGAAGTTCATGGCTTCGTACAAAAGTATTGACGCTATGCAGCAATAATTATTAAAACCATAACAAATTTGAATATATATATATATATATATATATATATATATATATATATATATATATATATATATAGCTTTAAGAGGGCGCGGTACCTCTATTTATTCGTCCGTTTCAGCCACCAGATGGCGCGCGGCTCGAAACGTGGTTGAACGCGCAACTTCTAGATGGCGCCAGTATCGAGGTGTGAAAAGGCCCGCGTTATCCGCTGCGTGAAATAGATCCCGAAATGTGCCGTGTTCTCCCGGCGGAGGAAGTTTCTCCTTCCCCCGCGCGCGCTTGGTATGTACGCGCGTCGCGCGGTGGCCGAGTCCGGCCTCTGCGCTGTGTGATGCAGTGGGTGGCGCTCGTTTCTGTTCGGAGGTAGGAATAAAAATGCCGGTCCCCTTTTTTACGACGCTCGTTTCTATTGCTTGTTTTTCTTTTTTTATCTCAAGTGACCTACAGTACCGCCTGTTCGAAATCGTCCTTTGCGGTGAGCGATTAAGAGTCAGGTTAGCATTTTATTTGGGTCAGCACTACACGTTCAATGGAGACCTCGGGCGGCGATGTAAATATGCATTGCTCCCCAAAGTGTGTCCAAGGTGCGCAATGACAATTGGAAAGAGTATTGAAGGCGCGCGACCGTCGGTTGGTAAAATACGTGCGTTAGATTCACTTATTCAGTCTAATCATTTTTGCCAACGTCTTTTATCCGTTTCGACAAATGACATGGTCGTGTCTATTGATAACCTTAGCTAGATTGGACGTACAGAGTGTCTGGGCTTTAAATAAATTTGCTTCGTTTATGTGAATGAATAACTGTTTTCTCTTTTCCGTGCTCGGTGCTATGCAAAAATCGCTGACATGTTATGGTAGCTCAGTGTGGTGGCGTTTTGCACGCTGACTCGCTATTGCATTCGCTGTGCACAATATGTGTTCAGATGGAATGTGCTAAATCGTATTTCCGATCGATATGATAGATTTACTTTGCTACAGTGTTAATTATATTTTCCCGATTTAAACTGGTTCGTCCCTGATCTGAGCCTAAGTTCAAATTCGAAGGGCAGACAGACTTAGCGTCGTAACAGCCGTAATGCCGCCCACAAAGAAATTAGTAGCATGAAAGAAAAACAAAAGGATACGAGGTGGCTCAGTGTTATAGAAGTAATCAGTGTGCAAAGGATGCCATCGTACGTGTTTTTTTTTTTTTTTTTAACTCTCCGCATTGCTGGTAAACGCTCAAGGTACCAGCAAAGACAGCGAGCTGGCGTGAAATTTCCATCGAGCGGAAAACGAGTGTCATTTTTATTTTATCATGCGCTTTCATTTTGATATGGCTCAAAATGGGCGCGAAATAGTAACAGGTAAGGCAACAAAATTTAGATGTTAGGTCTGGAGAACCGCCATACTCAGCCGTGTTGGGGGCATCTCTCGCGAGTCAATACGGCAAAGGTATTGCGCGTCGAACTGTACGTGAGAGTTATCCATTTCAGCGAAACCTTGATTTCGCAAAACTATTGTGGCTCGAGTCGTGGCTTCCAGTACTTGGAAGCCACGAGCGAGAAATAAATGACAGTTGATTTTGAAGGACAATCGCGACGTGGAAACCCATAAAAGAGAGTTCCAATGAGACGAGAGCTTCCCCTTCTTTTCAAGTGCGTGGGTTACGCTCTCAATCCTGCACCTGTGGTAACACTGCAGGCTCCTAAAATCGCTTTGAAAACGTTCCTGATCGCAACAACTTTTTTTTTTTTTTTTGTCGAGGCGCTATTTCATTTTTTTTTCTTTTTGTCTACCTTGATACCCCATGAACGCAAAAACTACCATAAACTAAAAAAAAAAAATATAGTGGGCATACAACGACAACGCACCCACTGGGACCCGAGTCAAGGCAAGAACAACTAACTACTAAAAGGGGAAAAAAATCATGTTCGCATACACAGACAGAACGCCTCCATCGAAAGAAATGAATCATGCGCTTGTTCTGCCAGTCTCGTTGTGCGTCTGTCAAAAGCCACAAAGGAGGAAGACAATCAGCGCCTACACCACTCCCCTCCCCTCCCTCCCCCCCCCCCCCCCCCCCCCGCCCCACCACCACCCCTAAAAAGAAAAAAAAAAAAGGTTTCTTGGGCGCGCGCGCGGTCGCCCAAGCGATGACCTTGTAAGGGTATGCGATTGTAGCACGTTTGGCCCCCGGTTGTGCCCCTGTCTCAAATGCCACGGTCCGTTTCTCCCAAGTGCCCGTCTTATCTTCCCGAGTATCAACTCCGCAGTGATTCTGAATCATTCCGATGCTTTCCAACGTTGCAAAACTGTTAGACGAATATTTGCACAGAAGTATACACTGTTCGCAGAACTATCTAAGGCGCTAAAATTCAAAAGCGCCGTGTTGGATTCGGGAACTCGTGTAGGTTTAGCTCATTGTTGGAACATTCTTATTCGCTCGATGAACTCCACAAAACGTGTAAATATTGGAATGAACTTTCCAGAGGACGATAGTTGTTGTTGGGGTTCCAGGCGACCGGACAGGTCGCAATTATTGGCTGATTAAAAATTTTATTTCATAATCACAATCGTATCATCAAGGGCACGCCATTTCCTCATCACTTCTTCTACGAAA